GGGGGGGGGTGGCACTCTAATACCTAAATGTGTTCAGTTCCATTATACCTTGGACAGATATTGCAAGAGGAGACCTGATGAGCAGGGTTCGAGTAGAACACTAACTCAAACTGCAGGTGGACCAGTGTGCAGGGGCGGGAGTGGCATCGTCAACAGTGCTACAGCAAATGAGGGACCAGCCCAGGGACCAGCCCAGGGACCAGCCCAGGGACCTACAGTAGGCCGACAACAGCCTGGGGTGGGAGTGGGGCGACCCACCACCACCACCCCACTCGGGCACAACCAGTCACCCTCCCTCTCACAAACACATCTACCTCTCCCTCACTCACTAACCCAAACCTTACCTCACCACCCATACTGCTTAATCCCTCTCAGTCAATCAGCTCTCCTGCCTTCCAGCCGCCCCTCCTTCCTACCCAACCAACCACTCCCCCTCCTCACCCACTAACCAATATTTGACATGTTCCAGACAACACAATCCCGTCCAGTATGGAAGCAGTGATTACCCACCTGATAAACACTCACCCACTTATTCAAGAATTAATAAACAAGCAAAATAAACTAGATAATTCCCTGTGTACAATTCAGAAGAACCAGTAGGCCATACTCGAAGTTCTGCAGGTCCAGAGTTTGTCTCCCGCTGCCCCAGTGAACATATCAACTCCAATGAACTCAATACCACCAGTGAACACAATACCATTGACAACTGGCACCAGTACACTCAGTAACACCAGCACATACACCACCAGTGCACACAATCTCACCATCAACAACACCAGTGCACACAATCTCACCATCAACAACACCGCACACAACACATCTGATGACCAACACCTCCACGATGGATAACCACTGTGAAGAAAATCTCACTATCCTACAATGGAACTGCAACAGAGTTCGCGGTAGACTTAATGACATCATACAGTACGCTCGTGAACACCAAACTGACGTCACAGTGCTCCAGGAGACACTGGTGGGTGATGACTTCAACCCCAAGGTTCAGCGGTTATCGCAAGTTCTCCCTGCCCGCTGGGGACAGGAAACGGGGTATTATTACCTATGTTAGTGACACCATACCTGCACAGATTATTGATGACCTGCACATGGGGGATGAGTATGAATCGCTGGGAGTAACCCTTCACTTAAACAATAATGCCCTACATATAATCAACCTATATGTCCCACAGAGTAAACTTGACCTTGACACACTACCTGAATTTACTAACTAAGAACCTACCCTGCTGGTCGGTGACCTTAATGCCAAGCACCCACACTTTGGTGCCAACTGTCATCAGCCCAATGTCAATGGACGGAAACTGTCACTCTATGTCAGGGGAAATGAAAACCTTAGGGTCCTGGGTGATGAACAGCCAACTCACCTCAGAGGAGGAAGATTAGACTATGCTCTCCTGCTGAATGCACAGGACACGGATGCCAGTACACACATTGTGCACAGTTTATGTAGTGACCACTGAGCACTGATTACCACCGTCGACATGAGCAAGAGAAGGAAAGAGACAAATAAATAAGGTTATCACTTGGACCAGATATGAGGCCGCACTTCATAAACAGGATGAATGACTGGTTCACGGAACACCATATGCCAGAAGACATTGATACATATGGAAGATGACCTTACTAACCAAATTGAGAGCTGTCTCAGAGTTCCGCGCCGTACGACTGGGTAGCGACTGGTAACCCTCAGAAGAAGAAAATAAAATGGTATAAGAACGATTACATTAAGATGTTCAATGCAAATGTAAGGAGCATGAGTAGAGAGTACCGGAGACATCCCACTGACAGCAACCAAGAGCTGTTTAAAACTGTGTGTCAAGTAGCCAGGGAAGAGAAGATTAAAGAGCGGGAAAGACAATGACTTGACTTCACTAGCTCCATTAAAAGGGAAACCTCTGCAAGACAAGTGTGGGCAAAAATTCAGATAGCTAAGGGGAGCAGAGCCCGGCCTGCGGCTCACAAAGACCCCCAGGGTAAGGCTGAGGAACTAATTCACAAGTGGAGTGATGCAGCATCCTCCTCCTCCCTCCCTGCAGAAGTAAAAGCAGGGAACAGTTCCTGCGACATGACAGAAGAATTAGAATAACAAGAGCACTGTCTAGTGATGACGAGTATGGGCAACCAATCACAGCCCAAGAAGTAAGGGGCGCTATGAAAAAGGGTAAAAGTACAGCACCTGGTGAAGATGGCGTCACCTACGACATACTCAATGCATTGTGTGAAGTGTCTGGGAATCCACTACTCCACCTGTTTAACAAATCATTCCTAAGTGGAGTGTTGCTCGAACAATGGAAACACGCAATAATCGTTCCAATACCAAAGCCCAATGACCCTGGTAATAACACACTTATCAGTCTCATGCCATGCACTTGCAAGATGCTTGAAAGGATCATTCTAAACATACTGTTGCACAAAATAGGCAGGCTAGGGTGGGTGTCAATGGATTTGTTAAAGGACGGAGCACAGCAAATTGTATAGTTAATTACTTGGCTAATGACACAGCTAGGTACTCTGTATTTGTCGACAAAGCACAGGAGACTGCGATCCTGGACGAGCTTGCATGCATGGGTGTCAAGCGGAGACTCTTGAAATGGTTTGAAGACTACCTCACAGGAAGGAAAGCCAAGGTCTGCTTCAATGGAGCAGTCTCCAGAACAATGAGTATGGAACTCGCTACTCCCCACTCCCCAAGGTGGAGTCATAAGCCCCACCCTATTCAATAATGTACATTTGAATGCTATTGCAAATATTGATTTTCCGGAAGGGACGCAACAAGTGGGGTATGCAGATGTTGTCCTAATACAAGCTCCCACCTTGGGAAAAATTAAACAGTTCATTGAACTCCTTGGAAGGAAATGTGGTGAACTCGGTTTCGCTCTCTCCACAAACAAGACAAAAACATACTCTCATCACAAGAGGGGAGAAAATGAAGAACTACAAATTAATGGTGTAACACTTGAATGGGTTGACCACTATTGATACCTTGGCATCACTGCCGGTTCTAACAAGGGGGAAGAAAGAGAAGCTCAACCAGCTTATAGGAACATGCAAAAGTCGACTCAGGGCACTGAAAGCTATGACCTGAAATGAACATGGAGCCTATATTGCCGTGCTTAAAACAATGTACACAGCCTATGTGCGCTCCGTCATAGACTATGCTGCACCAGTTCTTTGCACCTACTCCCAAAGCAATATGAATAGGCTCGAAAACATTCAGAATGAAGCCATGACAATCATTCTTGGAGTTCCAAGAACTGCCAAAACGTCTAATCTACGAGAGGAGTTGTCCCTCCCCAGTGTTAAAAGCAGAATTAAGGAACTGAATGCTAAGCTTGCAATTAGGATAGCCAGAGATCCCCATTACAATGATATTGCCAAGAAAAATATGAGTTCTGTGCTGCTAACAGGGGGAAACAGAAGAAGCAAAAAATGGCATCACAGATCAGTCTGCTACCTGGAAGAACTTCACCTGCTTGAGCAAGCCCGTGAGCTCCTGCCTGTAGAGAGGTTACCTCCCTGGGAGAATGACTCATGCAAGATTATCATCAATAAAATGGCAACGAAAAAATCCAACATGATACCACAAGAAATGAGGCACAAGTATCTCGAGGAAATTTATGAAGAAGCCGGAGATGAACTAGATCACATCTACACTGACGGGTCATCAAATCCTGTCAATGGCAGGGCTGGTGCAGTATACACGGTACTTAAGGATAATACTTTTCAACACAGAAATGAAGAAAAAGCTCGTATTGAGAACTATGCCTCTTCAATGCAAGCAGAGCTAACTGCCATTGTTATGGCGTTAAGATTCCTTGAAAGAAACACCAATGGTGCAATGATCTACACTGATTCAAAAGCAGCACTGCAAAGCCTAAGTAAAAATCGGGCAGAAAATCTTGCGATAGTAGTTGAGATCAAGAGAGCTGTGAGAGTACTTACCAACCAGGGAAGAGTCCTCAAGTTTTTGTGGATCCCCTCCCATGTTGGAGATCCCCTCCCTGTTGGGGATCCCCTCCCATGTCGGAATATGTGGGAATGAACGAGCAGATGTGCTGGCTGCTGAAGGCGCTGAAGGAGACCATATTGAATACTTCATACCTAAGACACATCTACAAATTAGAGGTATTGTCAGGCAACATCACCGTGAATAGGTAATTGACGAAAGGAGGATTGAAGCACAAACCAGTGAATCTGTTCCATGGTACAACATAGTTGCATCTGGCAATCCCAATCATTACGGACAAAGAGGAGGACGCGGGAGAGAATCAGTAATAGCGAGAAACCGTTTTGGATACAAATATCCATGGAGGTTTAGAATGGAAACAACAGTTCATCAGCGGAGTTGCAGAATCTATGATGAGAGTGACGGACACCGCCTTGACCACTATCTACGTGAATGTGAACACCTGAGGCCCATTAGAAATATGTGTAGAATAATAAACCCCTACATTGTTTGAGTTAGGAAAACACTTTGTCAAATATTGATACTGTTCTTAAAAGATTCCCCCATTTTGCACCCGCATGATAATGTAAGATTTTATGGGTAGACAGATGTTAATCTTCTTGTTTGAGGAGCTGTTCACTTGAGACAGTTAAGCAAGTCCCAGCTGTGTCTGGGTACAAGTGACAGGATGAACAACCCAGCGGGTTTTCTTCCTATTGAGGAGTGTTGTACATGCTGCTATGGCGGTGTGTTCACTCACAAGATGAGTGGCGCTGCCCAATACTGTCACTATGGTGGTGTGTTCACTCACAAGATGAGTGGCGCTGCCCAATACTGTCACTATGGCGGTGTGTTCACTCACAAGATGAGTGGCGCTGCCCAATAAACTCGCCCCTCGGGGCAAAATTAAAAAAAAAAAATTAATTGGGGCGGAACCGGACACCGGAAATTGGAAATGGCTGGCGCGGGAACTGTCCTCTCCCCCTCCCTGATAAGTAATGTTCTTGCTGCTAGTTATCGTGCCTTTGAGAACGTTTACCTAGAGCAGTGGTTGATGATAGGACCCTGGACTGGTATGACTATTGATGACACACAAGCGTAGCTGTGGCGGGTGGCTTGGCTTGCTATGGCGGGTGGCTTGGCTTGCTGTGGCAGGTGGCTTGGCTTGCTGTGGCGGGTGGCTTGGCTTGCTGTGGCGGGTGTCTTGGCTTGCTGTGGCGGGTGGCTTGGCTTGCTGTGGCGGGTGGCATGGCTTGCTGTGGCGGGTGGCTTGGCTTGCTGTGGCGGGTGGCTTGGCTTGCTGTGGCGGGTGGCTTGGCTTGCTGTGGCGGGTGGCTTGGCTTGCTGTGGCGGGTGGCTTGGCTTGCTGTGGCGGGTGGCTTGGCTTGCTGTGGCGGGTGGCTTGGCTTGCTGTGGCGGGTGGCTTGGCTTGCTGTGGCGGGTGGCTTGGCTTGCTGTGGCGGGTGGCTTGGCTTGCTGTGGCGGGTGGCTTGGCTTGCTGTGGCGGGTGGCTTGGCTTGCTGTGGCGGGTGGCTTGGCTTGCTGTGGCGGGTGGCTTGGCTTGCTGTGGCGGGTGGCTTGGCTTGCTGTGGCGGGTGGCTTGGCTTGCTGTGGCGGGTGGCTTGGCTTGCTGTGGCGGGTGGCTTGGCTTGCTGTGGCGGGTGGCTTGGCTTGATGTGGCGGGTGGCTTGGCTTGCTGTGGCGGGTGGCTTGGCTTGCTTGGCTTGTGGCGGGTGGCTTGGCTTGCCGTGGCGGGTGGTGGCTTGGTGGCGGGTGGCTTGGCTTGCTGTGGCGGGTGGCTTGGCTTGCTGTGGCGGGTGGCTTGGCTTGCTGTGGCGGGTGGCTTGGCTTGCTGTGGCGGGTGGCTTGGCTTGCTGTGGCGGGTGGCTTGGCTTGCTGTGGCGGGTGGCTTGGCTTGCTCTGGCGGGTGGCTTGGCTTGCTCTGGCGGGTGGCTTGGCTTGCTCTGGCGGGTGGCTTGGCTTGCTCTGGCGGGTGGCTTGGCTTGCTCTGGCGGGTGGCTTGGCTTGCTGTGGCGGGTGGCTTGGCTTGCTGTGGCGGGTGGCTTGGCTTGCTGTGGCGGGTGGCTTGGCTCGCTGTGGCGGGTGGCTTGGCTGGCTGTAGCGGCGTGAGTAGACACATGGGTTCCGGCTGTGAAACAAAATACTCAGTCCCACTGCTGCTGTCAGTATTTGCAGTTGTTATTCGGTTGTTGATTGGATCGTGTCTGGTCTGAGGAGACACACAGTCTGAATTCTTGGACTTTATTAGTTGTGGTAATAGAATATATATCCAGCGCACCAGGGTCCTGAGGTCCTGCTCTGATTTAGGTCTGCGTGGTACTGGCCGCCGACTTGAAATTATTATTATTATTAACATCTTTATTGACAAAATTAATTACAATTTTGCCTAATCTGAGAATTTTGATAGTCTTATTAAAGTGAGGATAATGGTGGTATTCACTGTCACGCAGGACAGAGAGTCATACATAAGACAATAGGTCTAAACTGTAGGCTGGAGCACATATATATCATGGTTACAATAAATGTTTTAATGTATGGATATGTGAAAACAACTTTCTATTGTGCACTGCCACACAAGGGCAGGGATGGGTTCATAACTGATGCAGCTCAGAAGTAATATAAATAAAATTGTTCTTCATTCTTTAAAATGGACAAACAAATTTTGGGTAAATTGTTAGGATGTCGTCCAGAACACCTGAGTCAATAAAATAGTTACACAGTTGGTGGTACAAGAGGCCAGGAGGTCTAAAGTCCTTTACGGTTTCTCATTCAACAATATAGTATTCTAGTGAATGCATTAAAGGTTTATCACAGAGTTTACAATCTGAGTCTTGAAAGCAACTATTGCGCTGTTTTGAGGAATGACGTCATGGGCTCTCTGGCCACAGGATTGGCTATTCACCAACCGTCTTGGAATTTGGAGGATAACACTTGTATAGCAGGGAGGTGTAGGGACCACTATGGCACCTGTTGCTAGTATACCAGAGAGGTGTAGGGACCACTATGGCACCTGTTGCTAGTATGACAGAGGGGTGTAGGGACCACTATGGCACCTGTTGCTAGTATGGCAGGGAGGTGTGGGGACCACTATGGCACCTGTTGCTAGTATACCAGAGAGGTGTAGGGACCACTATGGCACCTGTTGCTAGTATACCAGAGAGATGTAGGGACCACTATGGCACCTGTTGCTAGTATACCAGAGAGGTGTAGGGACCACTATGGCACCTGTTGCTAGTATGGCAGAGGGGTGTAGGGACCACTATGGCACCTGTTGCTAGTATGGCAGGGAGGTGTAGGGACCACTATGGCACCTGTTGCTAGTATACCAGAGAGGTGTAGGGACCACTATGGCACCTGTTGCTAGTATACCAGAGAGGTGTAGGGACCACTATGGCACCTGTTGCTAGTATACCAGAGAGGTGTAGGGACCACTATGGCACCTGTTGCTAGTATGGCAGGGAGGTGTGGGGACCACTATGGCACCTGTTGCTAGTATACCAGAGAGGTGTAGGGACCACTATGGCACCTGTTGCTAGTATACCAGAGAGGTGTAGGGACCACTATGGCACCTGTTGCTAGTATACCAGAGAGGTGTAGGGACCACTATGGCACCTGTTGCTAGTATGGCAGGGAGGTGTGGGGACCACTATGGCACCTGTTGCTAGTATACCAGAGAGGTGTAGGGACCACTATGGCACCTGTTGCTAGTATACCAGAGAGGTGTAGGGACCACTATGGCACCTGTTGCTAGTATACCAGAGAGGTGTAGGGACCACTATGGCACCTGTTGCTAGTATACCAGAGAGGTGTGGGGACCACTATGGCACCTGTTGCTAGTATGGCAGGGAGGTGTGGGGACCACTATGGCACCTGTTGCTAGTATGGCAGGGAGGTGTAGGGACCACTATGGCACCTGTTGCTAGTATGGCAGGGAGGTGTGGGGACCACTATGGCACCTGTTGCTAGTATACCAGACAGGTGTGGGGACCACTATGGCACCTGTTGCTAGTACACCAGAGAGGAGTAGGGACCACTATGGCACCTGTTGCTAGTATACCAGAGAGGTGTAGGGACCACTATGGCACCTGTTGCTAGTATGGCAGGGAGGTGTGGGGACCACTATGGCACCTGTTGCTAGTATGGCAGGGAGGTGTGGGGACCACTATGGCACCTGTTGCTAGCATGGCAGAGGGGTGTGGGGACCACTATGGCACGGGACCACTATGGCACCTGTTGCTAGTATAGCAGGGAGGTGTAGGGACCACTATGGCACCTGTTGCTAGTATACCAGAGAGGTGTAGGGACCACTATGGCACCTGTTGCTAGTATGGCAGAGGGGTGTAGGGACCACTATGGCACCTGTTGCGAGTATGGCAGAGAGGTGTAGGGACCACTATGGCACCTGTTGCTAGTATACCAGAGAGGTGTAGGGACCACTATGGCACCTGTTGCTAGTATACCAGAGAGGTGTAGGGACCACTATGGCACCTGTTGCTAGTATGGCAGGGAGGTGTGGGGACCACTATGTCACCTGTTGCTAGTATACCAGAGAGGTGTAGGGACCACTATGGCACCTGTTGCTAGTATACCAGAGAGGTGTAGGGACCACTATGGCACCTGTTGCTAGTATACCAGAGAGGTGTAGGGACCACTATGGCACCTGTTGCTAGTATGGCAGGGAGGTGTGGGGACCACTATGGCACCTGTTGCTAGTATACCAGAGAGGTGTAGGGACCACTATGGCACCTGTTGCTAGTATACCAGAGAGGTGTAGGGACCACTATGGCACCTGTTGCTAGTATACCAGAGAGGTGTAGGGACCACTATGGCACATGTTGCAAGTATGGCAGGGAGGTGTGGGGACCACTATGGCACCTGTTGCTAGTATGGCAGGGAGGTGTGGGGACCACTATGGCACCTGTTGCTAGTATGGCAGGGAGGTGTGGGGACCACTATGGCACCTGTTGCTAGTATGGCAGGGAGGTGTGGGGACCACTATGGCACCTGTTGCTAGTATACCAGAGAGGTGTAGGGACCACTATGGCACCTGTTGCTAGTATACCAGAGAGGTGTAGGGACCACTATGGCACCTGTTGCTAGTATACCAGAGAGGTGTAGGGACCACTATGGCACCTGTTGCTAGTATGGCAGGGAGGTGTGGGGACCACTATGGCACCTGTTGCTAGTATGGCAGAGAGGTGTAGGGACCACTATGGCACCTGTTGCTAGTATGGCAGGGAGGTGTGGGGACCACTATGGCACCTGTTGCTAGTATACCAGAGAGGTGTAGGGACCACTATGGCACCTGTTGCTAGTATACCAGAGAGGTGTAGGGACCACTATGGCACCTGTTGCTAGTATACCAGAGAGGTGTAGGGACCACTATGGCACCTGTTGCTAGTATACCAGAGAGGTGTGGAGACCACTATGGCACCTGTTGCTAGTATGGCAGGGAGGTGTGGGGACCACTATGGCACCTGTTGCTAGTATGGCAGGGAGGTGTAGGGACCACTATGGCACCTGTTGCTAGTATGGCAGGGAGGTGTGGGGACCACTATGGCACCTGTTGCTAGTATACCAGACAGGTGTGGGGACCACTATGGCACCTGTTGCTAGTACACCAGAGAGGTGTAGGGACCACTATGGCACCTGTTGCTAGTATACCAGAGAGGTGTAGGGACCACTATGGCACCTGTTGCTAGTATGGCAGGGAGGTGTGGGGACCACTATGGCACCTGTTGCTAGTATGGCAGGGAGGTGTGGGGACCACTATGGCACCTGTTGCTAGTATACCAGACAGGTGTGGGGACCACTATGGCACCTGTTGCTAGTATACCAGAGAGGTGTAGGGACCACTATGGCACCTGTTGCTAGTATGGCAGGGAGGTGTGGGGACCACTATGGCACCTGTTGCTAGTATACCAGAGAGGTGTAGGGACCACTATGGCACCTGTTGCTAGTATACCAGAGAGGTGTAGGGACCACTATGGCACCTGTTGCTAGTATACCAGAGAGGTGTAGGGACCACTATGGCACCTGTTGCTAGTATGGCAGAGAGGTGTGGGGACCACTATGGCACCTGTTGCTAGTATGGCAGGGAGGTGTGGGGACCACTATGGCACCTGTTGCTAGTATGGCAGGGAGGTGTGGGGACCACTATGGCACCTGTTGCTAGTATGGCAGGAGAGGTGTGGGGACCACTATGGCACCTGTTGCTAGTATGGCAGAGAGGTGTGGGGACCACTATGGCACCTGTTGCTAGTATGGCAGAGGGGTGTGGGGACCACTATGGCACCTGTTGCTAGTATACCAGAGAGGTGTAGGGACCACTATGGCACCTGTTGCTAGTATGGCAAAGGGGTGTGGGGACCACTATGGCACCTGTTGCTAGTATGGCAGAGAGGTGTGGGGACCATTATGGCACCTGTTGCTAGTATGGCAGAGAGGTGTAGGGACCACTATGGCACCTGTTGCTAGTATACCAGAGAGGTGTAGGGACCACTATGGCACCTGTTGCTAGTATGGCAGGGAGGTGTGGGGACCACTATGGCACCTGTTGCTAGTATACCAGAGAGGTGTAGGGACCACTATGGCACCTGTTGCTAGTATACCAGAGGGGTGTAGGGACCACTATGGCACCTGTTGCTAGTATACCAGAGAGGTGTAGGGACAACTATGGCACCTGTTGCTAGTATACCAGAGAGGTGTGGGGACCACTATGGCACCTGTTGCTAGTATGGCAGAGGGGTGTGGGGACCACTATGGCACCTGTTGCTAGTATGGCAGGGTGGTGTAGGGACCACTATGGCACCTGTTGCTAGTATGGCAGGGAGGTGTAGGGACCACTATGGCACCTGTTGCTAGTATACCAGAGAGGTGTAGGGACCACTATGGCACCTGATGCTAGTATACCAGAGAGGTGTAGGGACCACTATGGCACCTGTTGCTAGTATACCAGAGAGGTGTAGGGACCACTATGGCACCTGTTGCTAGTATGGCAGGGAGGTGTGGGGACCACTATGGCACCTGTTGCTAGTATGGCAGGGAGGTGTGGGGACCACTATGACACCTGTTGCTAGTATACCAGAGAGGTGTAGGGACTACTATGGCACCTGTTGCTAGTATGGCAGGGAGGTGTGGGGACCACTATGGCACCTGTTGCTAGTATACCAGAGAGGTGTAGGGACCACTATGGCACCTGTTGCTAGTATACCAGAGAGGTGTAGGGACCACTATGGCACCTGTTGCTAGTATACCAGAGAGGTGTAGGGACCACTATGGCACCTGTTGCTAGTATGGCAGGGAGGTGTGGGGACCACTATGGCACCTGTTGCTAGTATGGCAGGGAGGTGTGGG